TTTCATTCATATATGATTGAAACACATGTTAAACTTGACTATAATAATATCAGTGGTATATATTTGAATGCAAAAGCAAAAATAAATATATTATTTTACCTGAAAGTTGTCTAATATTAGGTTTTCGTAAAAAATAAACTTATGTATTAAAGTGGCCGGTGGGTATTACTTAAATGAGGCGACCAAAATAAGACATCCTAAGAAATATTTACGGACTTCAGGGAGACAAATCAACTCTTAAAATTATGAGCCATTAGTTTTTTTAATTCAATTCATTTTGATCCACTTAATGACTCACATATTCATTAACTCAATTCATTCTAATATATCTCCAATTTAATTGACACCACTAATCGATTTATAACCTATTAATACTCAAAAAAGAGTTATCTTTTTTTCACTGGTAATTTAAACTTAATGGACTTAATTATGTTTTTACAAAATTTAGTTATATATTCTTCTGTCTTCTTCTCTAACTGATGGATTTGGATTTAAGTCATTTGTGCTAATGATAAGATCAGTGAAGAAAACAAAATCCTCAAAGTAGATCTGCTTTTATTAAAAGATCTAAATAATTCCACTTATTGGTGTTTGGTCATTAATAAACATGATAACACAAACATGTAAACTGATTTGTTTTTATTTTATACACTATCTGGTATTCGATATCACTATAGTTTCAATAATCACAATGCGTAATAAAGAAGAAAACATTCACTATCAGAAATTTAGACACAAACAAAGCGATTTTACTCGTAACTTTAACCTAGAATTATGATTATAAACTATAGCAAAATCACTGAAAATGAGAACTATGTGAGTATTAATCATTTTGTCAGAGAGAGTTTACCCTTAAAACCTCTCTCTCATATTTATTAGTCAAGATATGACATGATCGCATAGATAATAAACAGTCGTCAGCTCTCTTATAATCATATTAATTATCACACTGGTTGCATGAACTCAAATCAACCATGTAATTAAGAATGAGAAGAAACAAAGGCTACTGATGCAAAATGAACTTTTTTTTTTCCATTCTCCTTTTAGTTTGTTACAAGGGACCGTCTGTCTTCAAATGGATGATTTAGAATTTAGATACACGACAATATTAAAACACTGATTCAAAACAAAAATAAAAATGCATTATGACAAACTATTACTACTAATAAAAACAAAAACAAAACACGAAACCATCATGTATTGTGCGTTCTGTCATATTCTCCTCTTCATCTTTATCATTATTAATCAACTTCTCTAAAGAATCATCCTTCTTTTTCTCCTCCTCCTCTTCCTCCTTCATTTTCATATACATTCCATACAAATACGAAGAAAATCCCCAAATACACAACAAAGTCGAAACTACTTTAATCCAACCAAAATTATCCTCAAACACTATAACCCCACCCAAAACATTAACGGCCATTAACGCCGTCATGCAAACTCCTCCTGTCAATGAACTTGTCAAGAACACCATCCCAGCAGTACCCATAAAACAAAACTGCCACGTCACCACGTTAAACATCACTGTTAACCAGTATGCTTTTTCACCTAAATCAAACACATTTTTGCCCTCTTTTTTCATCTCAGAAAATCCACCGTCTATAATCATTCCCAACGTGGCTAAAACGGTAGCTGCTAATTCCATGACAATCTGCATTTCCATTACCATAGAATAGCAAGAAACTTCTTTATATATTTTTTCCATTAATGGAAGATAAAGAGCGAACAATAATCCAGCACCAATCGTTGAGAAAAATCCTATAAAATACTTTGTTTTCGTCAAATCCTTTGGTTTGTCATGACTCGAACCCAAGGCCAACATGACCGAACTAATGGTTAGTAAAATAACACAATTAAGGTTCGTGTATGTGATTTTTTGTTTGACAATAATGACAGAAGTGATAAGAGTGAAGACTAGTTGTGACGATAACACAAGAGAATTAGTCGAAACGGGGAGGTAAGAATTACCCCAAGAAAATAAAAGGTTGTTGAGACCTAAGAAGAAACCAATTACAATAGAAAGTAACAACATTTTAGGAGTGAGATTTGTAAATGGTTTCCTATGAGTTGATTTAAAGAGATAAAAAGGTAAATAAATTGGGAGAAGGAGAAGAGGGAATCCAGCAGATTGGACCCAAGTTGAAGCCCAACGACTATCACCTTTGTGATTAAAGTAGAATTTTGAGAGTAAAGATGATGAAATTGAGCCAATAAAAAGTAACATGTAGTTAATACCTAGAAGAAACATGTAGCATTTTTTAGTGGTTTCACTACTAGTCATGGTTGTTTCTTCAATCTGGTCATGATGCATTTGGATTTGGACAATTTCATCACTATTTTTGATCATCAACTCTTTTAGATTTCCTCTCTCATCATCATGTTCTTCTTGTTGGGGTTGGGATACAAACTCCATTGAAAGAAAATTTAGATTTGGTTTGGATGGATGGATGGATGGGGGTGGAGGGTGGGGGATTTCTTATATAGAGAAAATATGCTTTTGGTGAATATATATATATATATATAGGGGCATCGCTATATAAAGGTAGACTCTAGTAAGGATATACAGATATTAAAGTGGTATTTTTCTTTTTATTCTTTTAAGAATTTACACCCCTTATATTAGGCAAACTCTACTCTTACCCCTTGTATTGGATTTGGATTCTTTCCACTACTTTTTTTTTGCTGATATATTTTATCAAATAATTTTATTTTTTATTAATGAGTTTCAAAAGATAAACATTTTATTTGTTCTTTCTAAAATATTAGTTCTCATACACGTGCAACACACGTGTATTTTATGCTAACAAATATAAATACTTTGAAAGTTTAAGAATTTGAACTAAATTATAGTCCAAATAAAAATATAAGTTTTATAAAAAATAAATAAATAAAAGAAGTCTATAGAGAGAAAATTTAACAAACAAAACAAAGATAGAGAATAAAAAATATAGCATACACATTCTTCTCAAGACTTGATTCATAACAATATATTTTATAGATGGAAAAAGAAATACGGGAGTCGATACGAAAAAATTTGAGTTACAAAATGAAAAATGATTACCTAGGTACAAGTCTCATGAAACAAATTTGCGATATCAAATTTATTTGACTTCAATATTTTCAACACAAACAAAATTATCTGCGAAAATTTATTTATTTAAAAATAATAAAATTCATAAAATTTAAATTTTAAATCTAATAAAAAACAAGCCTAAGCAAAACCTTTCGGCTAATCATAAATAGGCTAATTGAGTATCCAATATAACATATGAGCATATGCATGATGATGATGATGATTAATGCACATTTTAGTGAGTAATGACCAAATGATATGTGCAAAAAGATGCATCATCCGTTTATATATATTTACTTGTTACATATTTTCTAATTTGATTTCTTTTTTACTTGTCATTTTTGACAAATCAAGGAAGAACAATTTTTTTCTACCTGTATATGATACCTTCAATTTATTAACATTGAGTTAATGTCTTTAAAAAATGTAGTGAGTAAATATGTTTAAGACTCTATTAAATAGGGATAAAATAGTAAATTCACTAATACCAATCATAATTTTCTTAATATGTGTGTCAAGTCAAAATTTGACCAATAAAAAGAGACCGAGGGATCGTATATTTAAAAAAGAAAATATAATTAGGATATAGTGTTTGGATTTATTTTCTACCTTTTGCCTACTAATAAGGTAGATATTTAAGATATTTTAAGACCATAAATCAACACAATTGATAAAAATTCATATGATTAGTCTGCTTATGAATACACGTTGATTGTGATATTGGATACTTACGTAGTCCATTTATGAAGAGCACAAAGGTTTTTGGTCATGTCTTGATTTTGTACTGATTCATGTTATCCTATTTAAAAGTTATGACCAGTTAAAGATATCATGCAATATTATCAAATCAACTCTTTTCAATTCTTCCTCAATTTAACCCGATCTTTTCTCAAATCTATCACTGCATCAACCTCTCTCACCCATCCTCAGGAGGACATTTATGCTCCTCCACTTCACATGCACAAACCATTTAAATCTCGCTTCTTGCATCTTAAGAGTATTGCCTATGAACCTAACTGAAATTCTATTTTAAGGGACGATATAGTGATATTGTAATAAAAGTTAAGTGAACAAATAAACCGGAAAAAGATGGATTATTTTGTGAAAGAATTTTTGGTACTATAAAAAGCGGAATTTGTGCTTGTGGAAATTATCGAGTAATCGGAGATAAAAAAGAAGACCCGAAATTTTGTGAACAATGCGGAGTCGCATTTGTTGATTCTCAGATACGAAGGTATCAAATGGGCTATATCAAACTCGCATAATGTTCTCAGTATTTATGTAATTATGAATAAACTAAAACTCTTGTAAGCAAAACAGAAAATTATTTAAATGTTTTTTTGTTAAGGGTAAAATTATATAATTGCAACCTTTTAAATAAAGTGAAAGCATAATTTAAATTGTTGTTGAATGAATACATTAAACTCCTCCTTTGACTATAGATTTTAAAGTTGAAATTTAAAAATTTATGATTTTAAATTTGTTATTTTTAGAATTTGTGAAGTTATGTTTGAACTTGCATTTTACCTGAATTTTTTTAAAAAAAACTCTTGTAATGGAAAGTGACGTTTCTCTCAAAAACTGATCTGCGAAGTTAAATTTTTTATGTAAGATAAATCTTCAAAATCTATGACCTGATTCAAATCTTTGACCAAATAAATATTTAAAAATAAAATTTAAAATTTAATCCAAAATATATATCAAAGTACACTAATTAAGTAAATCTCTTATATATATCATAACTGATCAGTCTCTCTCTATATATATACACTCACCAAAACCCCTCAATATTCATCCACTATAACAAGTTCAAATTTTCATTGTTCTTTGTTTTTCTCATTCAATGGAATTTTTAGGTCAAGAACAAGTTCATCAAAATCAAACAGAATTTTCAAAAGAAACAAACACTAGTAACAAACGTGACATGATGTTTCTTCTAATAATTAACTACATGTTACTTTTTATTGGCTCAATTTCATCATCCCTAGTCTCAAAATTCTATTTTAATCACAAAGGTGATAGTCGATGGGTTTCTACTTGGGTCCAATCTGTTGGATTCCCTCCTCTCCTCTCCTTCTCCCTATTTATTCACTCCTAAAATTTTGTTACTTTCTATTGTGATTGGTTTCTTGTTAGGTCTCAACAACCTTTTATTTTCTTGGGGTAATTCTTACCTCCCCGTTTCGACTAATTATCTTGTGTTATCGTCACAACTAGTCTTCACTCTTATCACTTCTGTCATTATTGTTAAACAAAAGATTACATTTGCGAATCTCAATTGTGTTATTTTACTAACGCTTAGTTCAGTACTATTGGCCTTGGGTTCGAGTCATGACAAACCAAATGGTTTGACGAGAAGAAAGTATTTTATAGGATTTTTCTCGACAATTGGTGCTGGATTGATGTTCTCTCTTTATCTTCCATTAATGGAAAAAATATATAAAGAAGTTTATTGCTATTCTATGGTTGTGGAAATGCAGATGGTAATGGAATTATCATCTACGATTTTGGCCACGTTGGGAATGATTATTGACGGTGGATTTTCAGAGATGAAAAAAGAGGGAAAAAATGTGTTTGATTTAGGAGAAAAAGCATACTGGTTAACGGTAATGTTTAACGTGGTGACGTGGCAGTTTTGTTTTATGGGTACTGCTGGAATAGTGTTCTTGACAAGTTCATTGACAGGAGGAGTTTGCATGACGGCGTTAATGTTTTGGGAGGGGTTATAGTGTATGGAGATAATTTTGGTGGAATTAAAGTGGTTTCGACTTTGCTGTGTATTTGGGGATTTTCTTCGTATTTGTATGGAATAATGTATATGAAAATGAAGGAGGAGGAGAAGAAAAAGAAAGAGATTGAAGAACAACAATTTGTAGCTTGAGGATAATAATGGTCATTTGACAAGTTATCACTCTACAATTTTTTGTTATTGAGACAATGTTCTCTAGTTTCTTTTGTTGTTTATGACTTTTGGAAGAAAATTTTCAGTTTGAAACAAGGACTTGTCAATCTATCTATATCTTTTCTATCTTTTATTGTTGTTCCAAGATTTAGGGTTTTGTTTACTTATTTTGGCTTACATCAATAGGTATATATATATAGTAGTAATTTGTATTTAAGGTACTAGATAGTTGTGGTGACAAACAGGTGGATTGAGTCGGATAATAGAGGATAAAATATGGATCTGATAAAAATTGATAAAATATTCTATTAGTCCATATTCAATAGGAATAAAAAATGGGTAAACGAACAAATAATATGGATATCTACTACTTTTTTTATTATAAAAGAATGAGTACTCCCAAATTATCTTTTTCTCTTTTTAGGGTATGTTTGAGATGAATAAAAATAATATTTTTCAGAAAAATAAGTGATTGGGAGTTGAATCTTGGATTGAGAGTCAGGTTACGGATTAGGTTCAAGGTCAGGAGTCTGATCCTAGGTTGGATCTTGGGTCTAGGTTTCTAATCCTGAGTCGAGATTCAAGTCTCGGGTAGGAAATGGGGTCCTGTGTTGAGGTTGAAAGTCTTATATACCATACCATGGTATATTAATATATATACTACCACCAAATATGGGATGCGTATTGTGATGACCATGATCAATTTAGTTAGAATACAAATAAGTTAAGGGGCAGTCTGGTGCACTAAAACTCCTGCTATGCACAAGGTTCATAAAAGGGCTCGATCACAACGTTTAAATAGAAAATACAAGATTAATCTGCCTTTACATTAAAGAGAACATGTCTGTGTGGAATATAATGATCATCTCTTCAACACGATTTAGGTCCTTTAATTGCATAGTATATATAGCATATACTTAAAACATATGCCTATTTTAAAGTGAAAAAAAGTGGCTTTACCAATTGAGAAATTCAGTGTAAAAAAAAAGTTTACACGTTTACATCATCAACCCAATAGATATATGTCATGTATTTGCATTTAAATTCCTTATCATTTAACCCTGCTAGTTAATTTATGTACATTGTTACTTATTTAATTAGTCCTATGTTAATATAGGTTAATGTAGCTCAGGTGAAAGTTTGCCAAATATGTGATGTAATATCAGGAAATTATACTTGAATTTCTAGATATACATTAATCATAAATGTGACAATATTTGAGTTTTCTACTAAGTTTTGCGCAAATTCAAACCGATTATTCGATTAACCCCGTACCCTCCCCCCACCCACTGGTCATTTATGATAATGAAGAAAGCATTAAATAGGTTTTCTCTTTAGTCATACATAACCATTAATAAACATGATTACTAATACATCTAATATAATGTTTTATTTATTTTTTGTTTGACTTTCATCAACTTTTTGATAGCGAAACCACTATATATACCCTCACCAAAACCCCCATTATATTCATCCACCAAAGTTTCATTGTTCTTTCTTTTCTTTTGTTAATAATAAAATTCCATGGAGTTTGTAGGTCATGATCATCAATATCAAACTGAAATAACAAATGATTTGATGATCCAAATTGATCATGAACTCGAAGAAACAAGTAGTAGTACTGCTAGTAATACTTCAAACATTAATAAACGCTACATATCTCTTCTAGTAATTAACTATATGTTACTTTTTAGTGGTTCGATTTCATCATCTCTACTGTCAAAATTCTATTTTAACCACAAAGGTGATAGTCGTTGGGTTTCAACTTGGGTCCAATCTGCTGGATTCCCTCTTCTCCTTCTCCCTATCTATATACCTTTTTATGTTTTTAAATCAACTCATAGAAAACCATTTACAAATTTCACTCCCAAAATGTTGTTACTTTCTATTGTAATTGGTTTCTTCTTAGGTCTCAACAACCTTTTATTTTCTTGGGGTAATTCTTACCTCTCCGTTTCGACTAATTCTCTTGTTTTATCGTCACAGTTAGTATTTACTCTTATCACTTTTGTCATTATTGTGAAACAAAAAATCACATTTGCAAATCTCACTTGTGTTGTTTTACTAACGCTTAGTTCAGTTCTACTTGGCTTGAATTCGAATCATGACAAACCAAAGGGTATTACTAGAACAAAATATTTCATAGGATTTTTTTCAACGCTTGGTGCTGGATTGTTATTCTCTCTTTATCTTCCATTAATGGAAAAAATATATAAAATAGTTTCTTGCTATTCTATGGTTATGGACATGCAGATGGTGATGGAATTAACAGCTACCGTTTTTGCAATGTTGGGAATGGCTATAGACAGTGGATTTTCAGAGATGATAAAAGAGAGCAAAAATGTGTTTGATTTGGGTGAAAAAGCATATTGGATAACAGTAATGTTAAACGTGCTGACGTGGCAGTTTTGTTTTATGGGTACTGCTGGGATGGTGTTTATAACAAGTTCGTTGACAGGGGGAGTTTGCATGACGGCGTTAATGGCTGTTAATGTTTTGGGTGGGGTTATAGTGTTTGGGGATAATTTTGGTGTTATGAAAATAATTTCAACTATATTATGTGTTTGGGGATTTGGTTCGTATTTGTATGGAATATATATGAAAAAAAAAGACGAGGAGAAGAAGAAAGAGGATTCTACAGACATTGATGATCAACACTCTGTAGCATGAAACAAATCGTAACGCTGCGCAATGTCTGAAGATGATAGATCATGTCATCATTTATTTTTATTTATTTATGAGTCAATGTTCTAATATTGTCATGCATGTACCCAAATCTTCATTAGAAGATATATAATCCCTTGTAACAAGCAAAAGGGAGAATTGGGGAAAAAATATTAAGAAAGAAAAGTTTTTTATTCTACATCTATCTTTTTATTTTATTTAAAATAATCGAACGCATGGTGATAAAATGATTGATACTCATATTACTTATCACTTTTCATTTCTAGTAATTTCACTGAAATTTACTAACACATTCTTAGATCAAATTACGGCATTATTGCAGAAGCAAGATTACTAGTTATGAATTGAAATATTTGAATCAATAGCTATCAAATATCGAATAATTATTATCAAAAAGAAATAATATCAAATGACATGTGTGTAATCATATTTATTAATGTCTAAGCACCAACAAGTATAATAAAAGAGGATCTACTTAAATTTGAGGATTTTTTTTTCTTCATTGATATTATTAGTATTAACACAAATGACCAAAATAAACTGTAGAAAATAATTAAGGCCATTAAGTTTAAACTTGACCTCACCTTTATTGTATAATTAAGTTTAAACTTGACCTCACTTTTATTGTATTATCTAATCGCTTGTAGTAATTAAATACACCATTAAGAATGTATTTGGTATGAATATAATTTATACTCCTAGGTTTGCTTTTACTTGTTCATTTCTAACTTTACATATCCCTTAAAAAATAATGATAATATGAGTATTTTACAGTATATTTATTGTTCGAAATGACTCAAAGTTGTATTGAATGAAAGAAAACTTATATGTAATTAGACAAATAAACATAGACTAATTAATATTACATATAACGATCCTTTGTACGAATAAACCAATCAGAAAATAGAAATTAAAAAAAAAAAGTAAAAGAAGACTTAAACCACAAACATAATGTACCAAAAATCATCATCAATATTAATTATCAAGTGGCTAAACAAGAAATTAACTTAATAGATAATTTAAAAAGTATATATGGCCAGATGAATTTATTTGAAAAAGCTCATCAACAGCACAGTAATATAAATATTATGAAATGATCTTTGATTTAAGTGATTGAACTAATAAATAACAATCGAAATAATGAATAGAATAACGGATAAAAATCGATGAACAATACAAGAAAAGGTAAGAGATATTGCCTCCTTCAAATACTATAAATCATGTAAACCATAATTCATATTAATATAGTAACTTTTTTTCTACAACCAGATCTGAAGTAATAATATATTACAAACAAATATGTTTAACATACATTTATAAATCAAATTTTCCTCTACCAATATTAATAATAACAATAATAGCAATAATAATTATTATAATAATATAAGATATAAACCATCTCTTTATTTCTTTTTTTAAATTCTTTTTAGATATTCTAAGGATGGTAAAGTGCAGGTCGAATTGGGTACGAATGGATCAAAATGATGATATGAAAATAAATAAAATGCATTTGAGTCGAGATGTAATATTGCAATAAGGATATTGTTGGGAAAAAATGGTGTTTGTTTCCCTCCCAATGGCAGGTTCTTACGCGTTACTCACCCGTCCATCACTGAAACACCATTTTTCGTGTTTTCCATCCGACTTGCATGTGTTAAGCATGCCGCTAGCGTTCATCCTGATCCAGGATCGAACTCTCCATGAGATTCATAGTTGCATTACTTATAGCTTCCTTGTTCGTAGACAAAGCGAATTTGGAATTGTCTTTCATTCCAAGACATAACTTGTATCCATGCGCTTCATATTCGTCCGGAGTTCGCTCCAGCCCTCACGTCAATCCGTGGTCACACTTTGAGTCGAGAAGAATATTGCAATTACTAATATTTATTTATGATGCAGTTTTTCTTTTTCAAATTTTATGCAAACACAAAATATTTTATATATGGAGCTAAACTTTTGTGGTAACCTTGACACCTAAATGATCACACGAAGGGTTAATGCGTAAAAAGTATAGTATGGCTTAATTGGTTTGTAATATGTGCTACCATTTATTTACCTTTTATTTACTTGTAAATACAGCCACCCTAACATACCGTAATACTCAAATAAGACGAATCTCGATATAGTTATTTTAAGTTGTTTATTATTTGCAAAAGATAAAATTATTATTATTATTTTAATCCTAATTTGTAGCTTAAATGCCAAATGAAGATAGATCTATATCTTTAAATAGACAACATGAATGAAGGTAAACTAGGCAAAAGCCGGCTTCCGAATTACTAATATTTAAGAGA